AGGCGGGGGGAGGGGGGGGTAGTCATCTGCCGGCCGTAAGTTACATAGTGTACGGTACGGAATCGTGTCTAGGGAAGGGCCAACTCTCTTCCCTCTCTCCTCCTCCTCCACATTAGGCTCCTATCTTGAGGTTCCGTTGTATATGTACATACGCACACACATATAAATGCACACTATAGCCATAAACAATTCCATGGCTCAATACATCACTTTGTTGCTCAATACATGGTCAACACACGATACTACTATGCTCATGTTTTTCAATATTGTTTTACAATATTTTGCAGTTCGCTGTCGCGCAGTTCGCGTCGGTTCCTGAGGTCCATTATTACTTTGACAACTTTTTTTCAACAACATCTTGGGAGAGGAACATTGACAGGATCATTCAAATGAAACAAGCAACATATACAGCAAGGGCCATCAACTTCGTTGTGTAAGTCTGTTTGTATTTTTTTTTTTTTTTTTTTTTTTTGTGGTTGTCTAGGGCATGAAACTTTCATTTGTGTTTTCAGTTTTTTAAGTTACACGTTCCTAATGCAGCAAGCTTTCAACTAATTGTAATCAGTGTTTAACGGCTTTTACAATATTCATTGCAGTACAATTTTCTAATGATACTCTGTTATATTCTTCTTGGTGTTTTTACAGCCAAGAAATTTTCGCAGCAAGACGTGGTAGCAGACCAAATGTGAAAAAGGTGTTGATTGTTATTACCGACGGAATATCTCATGACAAACAATACCTACAAGAGGCAGCGGCTGCAGCCGAAAGAAAAGGCATTGTTCGATTTGTTATCGGGGTATACTTATTGAATTTAATTTTTTTTTTTTTTTTTTTTATTTTTCAACTTGAATTTTTCAAGGATTTTTTTTAATTTTTTTTTTTTTTTTTTAAATCACTAGGTCGGATCTTCGTTTCTTGAACCCAGTGCAAAACTGGAACTGGATACCATCGCATCTCTTCCCTCGAAGAATTATGTGTTTCAAGTTGACAGTTTTACAGCACTGGAGTCAATAAAAAATAATTTAAGGGAAAAGATATTTGCTATTGAAGGTAGAATTCCCAAAATATGAACAATCCAACTAAGTTATTGTTAATGTAAACATAAAAGTTTGAAACGTTTTACTGCCTTCAATGTATATTTTGCTGTTCCTGAATGCCCCGTTCAGCCACTGACTGTTTCACTGTCAGCTACTTGGCGGCCATTATTACTGCCAGGTTGACATTAAGTAAATTTTGTCTTCTCAGTGTGAGCACTTTCATCCACGTCCTCACCGAGAACAATTTTTATCAAGCTTTGCAGTTTCTAGTTTTTACCACCTTTGTTTCTCTGCATACTGTGGGGTAATTGGGATCTACATCAATAATATGATTATGACAGTTGAATTTGACCACGGTAATTAAGTTACGCACTTTTAAACACCACGTCACATCTAAACCCACCACTTCCACTATGCAGGAAGTTGATATCAACAACTCTTGTTTGCAAGATAAGGCATTATAAAATTTGATTTTTTTTTTTTTTTTAATTGTTAATGCAGAGATGAGCATAATGCAGCACTATACCTTTAAATGGTTATTCATGGTTGTTTTTTGGCTTATTCATACAGGCACTAAAAGCGGTGGACACGAACTGAAAATGGAAATGGCTCAAGAGGGATTCAGTGCCGCCTATGTGCCTCAGGTAATCTGTCTCACTGAATCTTAGGTGAAACTGTGCACAATTTGACGGCTGGTTTACTGTTTGTTGTTTTGCTACGACATACAGTTGCCGTACAATTGCCGTACGATAAACCGTATTTACCCTGACATGCGCCCTAATGTCAACTTAAACATAGGGACAGAAAATGGAAAGGAAAAATGTTGATGGGACAGTAGTATGGCTTGTTAGTTTGTATGATTTGGAGACATTAACTTGGTCTTAGGGTTGTTAGCATGTGCTGAAGGTGCCGCACTTAACCCTTTCATGCATGACGGTCACTACAGTGGACAGCTATTAAAATGTCATTTTCTATGATAAGAATAGGTTTTGATGGCAGTGTTGCATATAAGCCTCTACAGTGGACGCCTGAGAATCTCCCAACACTGCCATACAGTGGTCAGCCTTTGCAACTGCAGAATAATTGTGTCAACATTCAAAAAGAAAATTTGGTGTATAAAAACAGAACCAAATCAGTTCTTATTTTTACGTCTAAAAACACATAAAAACACTTAGTAACATTTTTTTAACTCAGTATATCATGGGTCATGCATCAAAGGGTTAAAGATGACGAGATTTTCACAACCTGTTATTTATATGTTTGTGTCAGGGAATCCAAATGGGTGTTGTTGGTGCTAACCAATGGAGAGGAGGCTACCTGAAATACTCACTGGGAGGCCATAGTGTAGGCTCCTATAAGCCGGAATACCTGTTGCCAGACAGTTATTTTGGTAAGAACACCGCCGACATGAGAGAATAAATACATGGATGTAACTGCAGTTTGTGAAAAGGATTCAATTATAGTTATGAGTTAATTATCCAACATAGTGACTGTGTTAAGAACAAAGTTAACACCTTATTAAAGCAACCTGTTGTCAGGAAAGGTAACTATTGCATTATCAAAATAACTTGTTTGTGGAGTTACTTGCAAACAATTATGGCATTCCATGTAACTAAAGTAGTTAACTCTTCTCCTTTTTCCAAATGCATGCTACTTATTATATTAAGTTTTCCATTTGTTAATATATACATTTATTAATACTATATATGTATACTTTATATGTGTGTATGTATAGATATATATGTATATATTTACTATAGAGGGAGAGAGAGATGAAACAGTTGATTGGAATAATGTGACTCATATTACCTATTACCATAGGTTTTCTTTGCCCAGGATTTCAAAGACAGAAAAAAATGACTGAACACACACTTACACAATGTCTGACACTGTGACTCTCTGTGCTTGTCATCACTGTGTGATGACAGTGATGGCATCACACACCAATACCTTGGCAGCTGCAAGGTTTTGGTGGCTCCCCCTTGACCACCAAAAAAAAAACCTGTGGCTGAAAGAGTGCTCTAATGAAATGAGTAACGGGTACAGCTATGTATTTTCAGTTCTGCTTCTTTATAGAAGATAAACTCTAGTTGTGCACTCTAGAGGAAAGGAGTATGTGTTGTTACAAGGTGTTTTGTATTACTGGTTGTATTACCGTCATTTTATTTCCCAATAACCAATGGCAGTTAACGAGTCAAACAACTGTCGATACCGATGTTCATGCGATGCATTGGTGTCTCCCTAAAAATACACAGTACTGTTTTATGGTGTTTGCAAAAACAAACAAAAAAAAAAAAACATTATAAACATCAGCAGTACTGCCTGATGGGCTTTTTAAAATATACACACACACACACACACACACACATATATATATATATATATATATATATATATGTATATATATGTATATGTATATATATGTGTATATATATGTATATATATATATATGTA